CCCACCCTTCCAATATCGACCCAACATTAATTGTTGCAGTGCAACGCCAATATCTTCCTCACCTTTATCGGAAACACCTAAAACTATTGATTCTCCTGTACCTATTTTTGTTGCCTTTGTTATATAGTAGTATCGTTCAGGATGTAAATAAAAAATAAAAGTAAGTATATGTTCTCCCATCCGTCTCTTTTTCTCTCATCTATCAGTTTTCGCTTTATCACCTTATCACACATTCACACAGATTCATTACCTCAAGAGCCGCGATGGTTATTTTTGTATTACCGGTGCAATCGAAAGTATAATCAAGCCCAATACCTGTAAGTTCTTTTAAAACTTGTTGAATTGGTTTATCTTTATAATCATTGGGTTAATACAATCTTTTGCTCCTAATCTCTTTGCTATTAAATTAATACAACGTGCAAGATTAATTAATTATTATTACTAATCTTTTTATTTTTATTTATTTATTACCTAATTCGAATTTCTTTGGATTGGTATCGGTTGCAATTATGCGGCTTTTTTTTTTAATAAATTAATAATTTTTTTTCGAAATAAGTAAACATAAAGTTTGAAAGAGCATCATCACCTTGCATTGCGAGAAACAGCGGCTTGAATTGCTCCTAAACCGACAGCTCCACAACCAAAAACTCCAACACTAGAACCAATTCTCATATTAGCTATTCTTGTTACCCCACCATAACCTATAACAACAATAATAAAATGTTAATCATTAATGGTAATAGATAATATGGCAATTAATGGTACAGACCGGTTGAAAGACCACAAGCCAATAAACAAACACTATCCAATGGGGCACGAGGATTGATTTTGACAATATTTTCATCAGTCAAGACTTTATTATTGTGTTATTGTAGGATAAAAAAAGTTAATTATTGTTATATTACTATCTATATAATAATAATAAATTATTTTATTAATTACCTGAATATTCACAAAATGAAGAAACCCCCAAAAAAGTAAACACTTGTTGACCTTTACAAGTGATTCTACTAGTACCATCAGGCATAAGACCAGACAACTATATTATCAATTGGTATGAAAAAAAATGCGCGGAAAAATTAATTTTTACGTGAAAGCTTGATCAATCGTTCGGTCGTATCTTAATAACAAATAACACGCACCTGATTGAGAAACATTTGACAAAAATTGGTACGAACAACAGTGCTATTGTTATTACAATATACACATTTACCACAACGTGGAATGTACGTAGTAATAACATGATCTCCAGGCTTTACGTATGTGACATCTTTACCAACTACACGGATACCGTATATATAACATAAATTAACATAGAATTTTTACGTTTATAATGAAAAAAATTTTTTTTTTGATAAA